ACACATCTGATAAGCCATTTCTTTATCCTTCTCTAAAATTCATCATATCGCATCTGAAATCTCTTGTTCCCCATCAGTTGTCCATGGTCAATTATCCAATCTGTCGGAATCAGGTTCTCAAACTTTTTAAAGCAAATGGATTCGGGTCATTTCTTGAAACTCCTCATTCGAGCCTAGATGATCAAGATTCATCTGATCCAGACTCCGAAGCATCAAGATGGCTTCTTACAGACCGCAATCTTGCTACAACAATTTCCTCCACCATTTCCACCAATGTGATTCCCTATGTCATGCATCTTGATTCTTGTTATGAAATCTGGAATGCTCTTCAAACCAGATTTCAATCGGCGAATAGATCCAAAGTTATGCAGCTCAAGAATGAGCTCCAAAACATCTCTATGAGGAACTTGTCGATGCAAGATTATCTTATGGAAATCAAGAAAACAGTCGATCTTATCATCTCGGCTGGATGCAATCTTGACAATGAAGATATCATACTTCACATACTCAATGGACTCCCACCGCCCTATCAATCCTTCAAGACTGCAATAAGAACTCTCCAAACTCCCCTGTCGCTGGATAGCATGTATGCAATGTTAGTAAGCGGAGAAATACATCTTCGTCAAGATTCTCAACGTTTCTCCACCGCTCAGGACAATCAAACTGCTCTCTACGTTCACCGTGGTCGTGGTCGTCGTGGCCGTGGACGTCCACCTCAACCCAATAACGCGGGATCTAAACAGGGTTTAAAATCATCTCTAGTTTGTCAGATCTGCACCAAACGCGGTCATTCGGCCGATGTATGTTGGCATAGGCATAATCCGAACTACACTACACCCTCCGCTCCGCCTGCAACATCTAGTCAGGCTCTGATTGCCACTGTAGATTCCCCGTCCTCTGACTGGTATATGGACTCGGGAGCTTCTTCTCACATGACATACGGTTATGAAAATCTTGCTCAACCGTCTTCATATCAAGGCTCCGACAATGTCATGGTCGGGGATGGAAGATCAGTTCCCATTGCGCATACTGGCTCGGGAATTCTTCCTACCCCCGAGCGTAAGTTGTTTCTTTCTCATCTTTTACACATACCAGCCATTTCCCACAACCTAATCTCTATTTCTAAACTTGTCTATGATAATCACATAGCTATTACATTTGAGCCTAATGGTTTTTTGTTGAAAGATCTGCAGACTAACAGAATATTACTTCGTGGTCCCTTAAAAGACGGACTATACCCTCTCTCAATCAAGAAACCGGCTGCTTCTCACATTGCCCTGACGACCCGCAAGAAAATTCATCATAATGGGCATCCCCATCAGCACATTCTTGATCAGATTTCAACTAAACATCCGTTTTTACATATATCAAACAATTCTAATAATTGCACTTCTTGTAAAGCATGTAAAAGTCACAAGTTAGTTTTCTCTAAATCTATAAATCGAAAACATTCTCCTCTTGCTATGCTTCGCGCGGATGTTTGGGGTCCATCCCCTGTTTCGTCTATACAAGGATGCCGTTATTACTTAATTATTGTTGATGATTATTCTCGCCACCTATGGATTTTTCCTTTCATGCTTAAAACTGAGGTTACTAATATTTTCATTAATTTCATTATCTTTATTGAGAAACAGTGTGCACGTCAAGTTCAGGTAGTGCGCACGGACGGTGGGTCTGAATTTGTTAACCACGAGTTTAACAATTTCCTCCAGACCAAAGGAATTCATCATCATCTTTTGTGCCCATACACACCGGAACAGAACGGCGTTGCCGAGCGCAAACATCGCCATGTCATTGAGACAGCCCGGACGTTAATGCACACAGCATCTATGCCACCCGAATTTTGGCCTGATGCTGTTCTAACCGCTGCTTACCTTATCAATCGTATGCCCACACCTACAACCAACAACACAGCTCCTATTAAACTCATGTTCAACCAGGATCCTGATTATGACAGTTTATGCACATTTGGTTGTGAATGCTTCCCACTTCTTCCGAAGCACTCACGACATAAACTTCAACCCAACTCAGTATCGTGTGTCTTTCTGGCTACACCAGCGACTATAAAGGCTATAAGTGTTTGCAACGAGATACCAACAGGATCATAATCTCTCGTCATGTTCAATTTATTGAAACATCGTTTCCATTCTCTACTTCTCTGCAATCTATCACGCCATCTCCAACAATGGTTCCTCCCTCATTTCTAATTCCTCCATCTCTTATCTCGCAGGTACCTTTAAGACGCAACACCACGGAACAACCATATGTTCCGCATTCGGTCCCAAACTTTGCAGCACCATCTCTCTCTCACACTGGCGCAGCTTCTCTATCCACTCCAACACAAATTGATACAAATTCACAAAATCATCTTGCTGCCCGGCATCCGATGATCACCCGCACTCAGAGTGGTTACCTCAAACCTACGAATCGCCTAAATCTTCTTCACACCACGAACTCGACGTCGGATCCCACAAGTTACAATGCTGCCAACAAATTACCTGAATGGCGCAATGCCATGGCAGCTGAATTCCTTGCGCTCCAAAAACAGGAAACCTGACAACTGGTTCTTGCTCCCGTAAACAAACAAATCTTAGGGTGTAAATGGACATATCGAACGAAACTTCACGCCGATGGCAGTGTGGCTAGGTTCAAGGCAAGACTTGTTGCTCAAGGAAATCGACAAGAATACGGCCTGGACTACGGTGAAACATTCAGTCCCGTGGAAAAACTTCCCACTATCCGCGTCTTGTTCACGGTCGCTCTTCATTACGCTTGGAAAATCCATCAACTTGATGTAGAGAACGCATTTCTTCATGGTGACATTCACGAAACAGTGTATATGAGGCAGCCAAAAGGTTTTGAGGATCCCAGTCATCCGAATCACGTTTGCCTCCTAAAGAAAGCACTATATGGCCTCAAACAGGCCCCCAGGCAGTGGTAAACAACGTTTTGCAATCATCTAATCCGGCTTGGCTTCTCACCCAGCAAGGCCGATCCATCCCTGCTCACATTTCATCAAGGAAATACCACAATGTTCCCACTTGTCTATGTTGATGACATTTTAATCACCGGTAACGACGAGAGTGCCATTTCACGGTTTCTTCAACACCTAAATCGTTCGTTTACTCTCAAACATCTCGGGCCGGCACATCATTTTTTGGGCATCAGAATTCAACACAATCAAGATAAGTATTTTCTTTCTCAAGAATCGTATGCTCTTTCTATCATTAACCAAGCAAATCTTACACATTGTAACCCTGCAGCGAATCCATCTTGCACCAAACCTCCAGTCAATCCCAAACAGGATTCTACTATGCCGTCTGATCCTATGACGTATCGGAAGCTCACCGGGGCGCTGCAATATCTCACCATCACTCGCCCGGATATAGCCTATGTTGTCAACACTTTGTCCCAGCATATGCACTCTCCTCAAACCGAACACATGTTCCTCCTTAAACGACTCCTTCGGTATATTCAAGGAACGGCGGCCTTTGGACTCCCGATCACGAAATTAGATCTTCGTCTCACAACTTACTCCGATGCTGACTGGGCAAGCGATCCAGTCACCCGAAAGTCAACATCGGGCTATTGCACCTTCCTCGGCGCCACGCTGGTTTCGTGGACAGTAAAGAAACAGACAACGGTTTCCCGGTCATCAATGGAATCGGAATACAGGGCTCTCACTGCCGCCACAGCCGACACCATCTGGCTCAAGCGTCTTCTCTCCGATTTTCTTGTAAATCACGATGCTCCGGTTGATCTACACTGTGATAATACCTCTGCCATCGCCTTAGCTCAAAATCCGGTGTATCACGCTTGTACCAAACATATTGAGATCGATCATCGATTTCTTCGTGAACATATTGGCAACAATCACCTTCGGCTGCTTCCTATCAAGACCGATGATCAGATTGCTGACATACTCACCAAGACGGTGTCGACGCCGAGGTTCAAAAAGCTTCGGGACAAACTCACTGTCAGCTCCGATCCGTTCGTTTGAGGGGGGATAATAGCTTACTTAAACAAATTCATTTGTCACTTTATTATGCTTTGTCCAATCATGTGTATACACGTGTTATGCTTGTTATTAGAATCTATTTATAGGGCTTACTGTTCAATAATATGAATAAGAAAAATCCTTTCTTCTTCTTCTCCGGCGTCAAGCTCGTTTTCCGTTTCTTTAAGAAGCTTAGGCAATGAAGTATGTCATTGCCAAGAGAGCAGTCTTATATTTCCTTTCTTAAACACACTAGTATACAGACAATAACATTTTGATATTGCTACAGATTTTTTTTTTTAATAAATTATTAATTAAGTTTTACTGTATAGCTACTAATATCTTTTTTGATCTTTCCTTGCAGAGCCTGGCTCGCTATAGACAGAAGCTTGATGAGATGCTAAACTGATACATTTCATCAATATTTGCAGTAAGCACTATTTGAAGAGAAATGTTTGCTTTGCCTTTGTCCAAAATCTGCGCTTTGAAAAGCCGGAACTTTTTACCCATAAGAAACTCTTAGCTAATGTCTCTTCTCCTTTATTATTGGAAAGGAAATTGATCTTAAGGTCTTAATTGTCGTCAAGCCATACTTCTAATCTCTCACATTTTTACGGTGCTGTGAAGAACCGAAGCATTTAAGTGATGATTATCATATTCAAGATAGTTGTTCCTCAGTCCTTTCAATGATTGTCATACAATATAGTCGAAGACCAAAGAAAATATCTAAAAAAGGAATGGACTGAAGACAAATATATATATAAAAGAAAGTGATCACTACGCGAACGAATAAAAAAGCTCAGGGCAAAAATAGCAGGAAATAGAAGTATTCTTCTTCTTTTTTTCTTGACAATATTTATTGTCCTTAACTACTTATAGTTATCATCTAAAATCGGTAATCATAAGGTCAATAATACAATATAAACATAGTTTAAAAGTGACATTTTGTATGCCATTTTATTATAAAAATAAATAAGAAAATAAATTAATGGAGGTGATCCAATCAAACGGCCAAAGATCGTCCCACATTCGCATTCTCGCCATCACATCTGTCATTCTCGACTTGTAGCTCAACTGATGGCAGCTCTGGCATTCCTATCGAAGCCTGAAACACCATCATTCAAACATCGTCAGTTGTTCGTCGTTAGTTTTAATACAATTACTTATTGTGATTGATTACTAATTAGCTCAATTAAACACCTGGGTTATTGACGGCGCAGGAGGGATCAATGCTGATAAGTGCTCCGTAGATACATAGCCTTGTTGCCACGTGTCGACTCCCACTTGTTGGTCCATTTGAGTTGACATCGACTCGCACATCTCGTAATTCCTGCCTCGTTGGACGAAATTAAACGGTTAAAATTAAAGTATTTACAAGACAATAACGAGTGACAAAATTCTAATATATATATATATATATATTAATTTGAGTGAAATCAAAATATTCCTTTATTAAATTTAGCTTCTCAAAATGTAGACGATCTCATTGCTGGTGGGATAAACGCTTGATTTGATTGTCGTCGCCTAAAAAAAATTGAGAAAATTATATTATATACCTTTTTCTCAGAAACATTTGCCAGAGATTCTATAAAAAATTTCTCATATGATTCGAGCTCGCTCAAAGATATCGAAGAGTCCAGAGATGCAGGATTGGGCTCCAAAAATCTGTAAAAATTGTAATTATAATTATGTGAAATAATTCATATATTATATAGAGGAGAATAAAAAAGTGATATGCAAACTTGTTAGATATATATTCATTGAAAAATAAAGCAAATGATAAATATCATAAAATTTTTGTACTAAAATTCTGTTTTAAGAAGCAATTAAAAAGTCGTTTCAAACGAAGCCGTAATCACAATTTTATATATTTATTTGTAGATTACCTTAAGGGTTTTTCAAGCATTTGCAGTTGTTCTTGACAAGCATTGAGCTCGTGCTGGAGTTCCTGAAAATATAGGAAATAATATTGAAATAAATATTATAGGAAATACATTTTATATTATTTTATTTCATTAGGGTTGTCATTATTATTGGGTTACATGTTAGGTTCGGATCTAACACGAAACTGACTCGGCTCCATACATGTCAACCTGAATACGACCCATTTTTAGAAACAGATCATTATTCCGGACTCAAACCAGACCCGCTTCCGGTCCGAATCAATCCAACCCGACCCCCTTTGGGTCCGGGTGAACCCGACACGATCCGTATGACCCGCAAACCATTGAAATCTGATTTTTCTTTTTTGGGAAAGAAATATGATTTTTAATGTATCAATTCTAACTGACATACGTACCTCCACTTTGAAGTTTTTGCTCAGCATCTCCGGGCTGAATTAGGCCGTACATATGAAGTAAAATGAAAAAAAAGTTAATATGGTAGAATTGTAAAAATTAATGACTAAATAAAACTTACTTGGCTTGGTGGGCAGCCAGGTCATCCTCATATTTGAGTTTGATAAGAGTCCTCATCAAGTACTGCAAATATCCATTAAAAAATAATTACGAGAAACATACAAATTTAGTTCCTAATTTGTTGATAAATGAATAAAAATGATTAATGAGAAATTCAAAATTTATGCCAACTTACATCTTTGTCCATCTTGTCCAGCTTAACCCTTCTTCAAGATTAAGAAATTAAAAGGGAATTTGTGTTAATTAATTATGATTAAAAAAAATTAATGCAGGTAATAACATTTAATTAAATGGCATACCCTCCATTGTCATGCTCTCGCACATTAATACACTTCTCAATAACATCTTCAATCCTACAATATTAAAAAAAATAATAATAAAGTTATTTAAATTACAAAATATGATTTATTTTTGCAAGAAAGCATGAAAAAAGAAAAATAAATAGGGTTCAATTTACCTCCGGCGACCGGAGAAGGAGCTGAGCCTGCCAGAAGGAGAGAACATGATGAGCGCGGTATCTATATCACAGAGAACGGAGAGCTCGTAAGCCTTCTTGATGAGGCCATTGCGTCGCTTCGAAAACGTCACTTGCCTATTTGTATTGTTCTCAATTTTTTTTATTTCCAACTTCACCCTACCCATTCTTATACGTCTTTCTAAGAAAAGAAAATCGTGTTTCGAAATCGCTTTTTGAGAAGCGCTGCCAAGATTAGAAAAATATCTATAAAAGAAAAGAGAAAAATAGCGAAGATTGAAGAGTGTCAGAAACTAGATCAATGAGAAAGGAGTTTTGAAATTTATAGGAGGGAGGATAGTCAGAGAATGAAAGAGATGTTGTTGGAGAGGTTTAAAGCCAATGGTCAAATATTAATAAGGCCTCTAAATTTATATCTATAGTTCTATACTATTGTATTAAAGTGCCGCTCGTAATTCTCCCACAAAATCATCCCGACCATACGTTTTAAACCGCTGAATAAATGTCGCCACTTAATTTGTTACTGTTGGTATGAATCGCTTCACTTCCACAGAAATGTCGCCGTTCTTATTGCTACCATTTGCACAGAAATGTCGCCGATTCTCCCGCTATTCTTCCTCGCCCGACCTCTTCTCCCTCACGTTCTCCTCTCGTTCGCACAACACGGACGGAACGAAGCCAGGCAACGATCCTAGCCAGTCGCACAGTTCCTGTCGCCGGTCCTCTCTCACGCACAGGTACCCCCGTTTTTTCTTCTTGCTTCTTCATCTTCTTCCTCTATTGTTTTTCTTCCTCCTTTCCCGGCCTCATTTTTCTCCACACTTCTTCTTCTTTATTTTCCCATGCTTACAAAAAAATTTTATTATAAAAGTTAATTTCAATTATAAGGAGTACAAATTATAGGTTCTGTTCTTACTAACTATGCTTCGATGCTTTCTTGATCATTTTTGACAACCGATATTATAATCTGGATCATCATTTATGGTAACCAAAGTTTGTTGGAGATCTTTTTAACTAGGCTTATTTGGATTTGGCAATCTGTTTTTTAGATTTGGCCGAATCTATATTATACTTGGGATTTGGCAATCTGTTGTGATATATTGTTATCTGAAGTTAATTTTTGTTTTCTTTAACCATTCCTGATTCCTTGTGGTTGGTGGCTGGTGGATTGTATTTTTCGGTCTTTATGTTTTTGTTGTTTTATTTTTTGGTTTTTTCTTTTGTGTTATTTTCTTTACTGTTATTTAGTTTTGATTGAGCTTAGCTTTTTGGATTCTGTGGATTTGGAAGACTGGATATCTACTCTGGATAAGACTAATGATTTTTAAGAATTGGATAGGATATTGGTTCGTTAGAATACTGGTCTTTTTCTCATTGTTTGGATAGGCTGAGCACGGATTTGTAGGCTATTCTATTTTGGAAGACTTGTTATTGCTTCGGATAAGTTTGTTGTTTTTGAAATGTTGAATCAATTTTTGTTTGAAGGCTGGTTCATATTCATATTTCCTGGTTTGTGATTATGATTCCTGGTTAGAGCAACCTGGAGTTGAAGATTTAGTTGAGTTACCTGTTCACAGATTCTTGTGATCATTGACATCCCCCATCCCTCGCATCAAACACGACTTCTTCCTACTTTGCCTAACCCATCAGTCTGTCGAAATCCCTCTTTCCGACCCCATTAATCAAGCTAAACTTATTAGCTCAAACAATATGTCATTTTCTTAGTTATTCTAATAAATAATATGATAATTAATAAATAAATGTATTATTTATTAAAATTTATTAATTCATTTAATAAATAAATTTAGTCATATAATAAATAATACATTTATTTATGCTTAAAAAGTAAATCGTCGTTATTTCACTGTGTTATTTCTATTAATGCATTGATATTTCTCTTTTGCATTTTGGCTAAAGAAAATAATAAATTGACTAATTAGCTATAGTTGCTTGTCGTTGCAATACTGTAGGAGAGCTTCCCTCCTTACTCAAAGACATAAGAATTGAGAAAATGAAGATAAAGCTAAGGTTTTAAAGCAAGTAGAAATCTCTGCTCTTCTCAACCCTTCACTTCATTTCAATAGAATAACTAAAATAAAAAAGGATCTTGAAATTGGGATTGGTAGCCTTTTAATATTGTGATGATCTGAATAGACACTGAGTTGTGAATCAGGAATCTATTGTGCTCTTAGCTTCTCAATAGGCTTACAGAATACCCATTATTACTATAATTCATATAACATCTTATACAAAACTATGTAAATATATTTAAATATAAGCTAAGAGTTCTAATTTAATCAATCCTATCTCTTCTTTAGTTGATAAAAACATTTTGCAAATTGAAGCATATGCATCCATTAACTAACATCACATCTATTTATATCTATAGACTTCATTAAATTTATTTTAAGATTAATACAATATATGATTAATTAGTCAAAATTTATATTATTATCTTCTGAGAGTAAATCCAATGATTTTTATATACATTCTAACTAAAAACATCACATTCTAAATTATTTTTATATACATGTACATT